ACTGTACAGAGTGCACTGAACTGAATAAAATACCTCATTTCTGATCAGAAAATATCCAAATATATCTTGTACACAAAATAAAACATAAAACTATAAAACACAAGTTAACAAACTCCCACTGAATCTAAATTCCCTCAAGCTCTATAACACCCATATGAGCAGTATGCTCATGAAAGACCCTGGGTATCAGAGCCTTTGTAAGGGGGTCCGCAATCATGGAGTTTGTTCCTAAATGCTCTATGTGAATCTGGCCACTCTGTACTCTTTCCTTCACAACAAGAAATTTGATGTCAATATGCTTTGACTTGGTTGAGCTCCTGTTGTTATTGGAATACAATACAACTGATTTATTATAACAAAGCAACTTGAGTGGTCTTTCAATTCCTTCCATAATGCGCAGCCCAGTGACAAAATTTCTCAGCCATATACCATGGTTGGATGCCTCATAACATGCTACGTACTCTGCTGCCATGGTGGATGAAGCTATGAGTGTTTGTTTTGCACTCCTCCAGGATATAGCTCCACCACCTAACAAAAAAATGTAGCCTGATGTGGATCTTCTGCTGTCTTGGCATCCAGGAAAATCGGAGTCAGAATACCCAATGATCTCCTATATGTAAGCATGTAATCTCTTATTCTCCTTAAGTATCTCATAACCCTTTTGGCTGCTTTCCAATGATCCATTTCTGTGTTGCTTAAGTATCTGCCTAAAACTCCAACAATGTACGCAATATCTGGCCGCGTACAAACTTGAGCATACATTAGACTCCCTACAGCTGAAGCATAGGGAATGTTTTGCATTTCTTGAATCTCAAGGTTTCCTTTCGGGCACTGATTGAGATTGAACTTGTCTCCTTTAACGACAGGGGTGTCAATTGGTCTACAATTCTGCATGCCAAATCTTTTAAGTACTTTATCAATATAGCTTCTTTGTGACAATCCAAGAATACACTGAGAACGATCTCAGTGAATCTGAATTCCTAAAACAAATGAGGCATCACCAAGATCTTTCATCTCGAAATTAATTGATAGAAATCTCTTGGTTTCGTGCAACATGCCTATATCATTTGTGGCAAGCAGTGTGTCGTCCACATACAAAATCAGAAAAATATGCTTTCTCCCACTAAATTTATGATACACACAATCATCAAATGCATTCATTTCAAAACCAAACGATAAAATCACTTGATGAAATTTGTGATACCATTGACGGGAAGCTTGTTTGAGCCCATAAATAGATTTTGTCAGTTTGTAAACCATATTCTTTGGGTCTCCTGACCCAGTTTTCTGGTTGCACCATATAGATCGTTTCATCAATGTCTCCATTGAGAAATGCGGTCTTAACATCCATTTGATGAAGCTCCATATCATAATGAGCAACAAGTGTCATGATTGTTCTAAAAGAGTTATTTGTTGAAACCGTAGAGAATGTCTCTTTAAAGTCAATCCCTTCTTTTTGAGTATAGCCTTTAGCTACAAGGCGAGCTTTATACCTCTCCACATTACCCTTTGAATCCCGTTTGGTTTTAAAAATCCATTTGCAACCAATGGGTTTCTTTTCTTCTAGCAATGGGACAAGTTCACAAACTTTATTGTCTTGCATAGACTTATACTCCTCATTCATTGCTTCAATCCATTTTTCTAAATTGGAACTTTGTATAGCTTGACGAAAGTTGATAGGATCATCTTCCATCATACTATTATTTTCCTCATGTTCCTGACAGAAATACAATGTAATCATCTGAAATAGCATTTCTTCTTTCCCCAGTGGATCGCCGCAAAAGCACTTGTTCTTGAGCTTGTTCTTGAGGTTGTTGAATTTGTTCCTCAAGGGGTTGATTAACAATGTCTTTTTATGGATTCACAACTTGATCAATGACAGGAGTGAAATCTTGATCATTATCAAAAGCAATTATAAGAATAGGAACCAATTCCTCTTCAACAATAGTAGTATGATCTGATTCCTCCTTAAAGAAAAAGTCTCTAACTTGATTTCTCCCCCCAAATTCAATATCCTCAAAGAACATTGCAGTTCCCGTCTCAAATATTATCTTTAATTTGGGATTATAAAACTTGTAACCCCTAGATCGCTCTGAATAACCAACAAAATAGTTGTCACTGTTTTAGGGTTTAACTTTTTCTCATGTGGCTTGTAAGGTCTTGCCTCGGCTGGGCAACCCCAAACATGAAAATGCTTTAAACTAGGTTTTCGTCCTGTCCAAAGCTCATAAGGTGTTTTTGCAGCTGCTTTAGTTGGTACTCTATTTAAAATGTAGGCCGCTGTCTTAAGCGCTTCTCCCCAGAGTGATTCTGGTAAGGTTGAATGACTGATCATACTTCTTACCATGTCTTTAAGAGTGTGATTTTGTCTTTCAGCTACACCATTCATGCTAGGTGACCCCGACATTGTGTACTGAGGGACAATTCTACACTCCTCTAGGAATCTGGCAAATGGTCCCGAACATTGTTCACCTGAACCGTCATATCTGCCATGATATTCACCACCACGATCAGATTTGACTTGCTTTATTGTTTTGCTTAGTTGGTTTTCAACTTCAGCCTTATAAGATTTGAACACATCCAATACTTGGGACTTCTCATGAATAAGAAATAGGTATGCATATCTTGAATAATCATCTATGAATGATACAAAGTATTGTTGACCATTCCAAGAAGGTATAGAAAATGACCCACAAATATCCGTATGTATCAATTCTAAGACGCCTGTAGCTCCATAGCTCCTAATTTCTTTGTTTTGGTCTGTTTTCCCTTAATGCATTCAATACAAACATTAAAGTCCGCAAAATCAATGGAACTTAGAATTCTATCTGATACAAGTCTTTCAACTCTATTTCTAGAGATGTGACCTAAACGCTTGTACCATAATGTTCCTGAATTTTCTTTTTCAATTTTACGCTTAGTACCACGTGATTCCACATTCAGAGTTTCATTATAAGAAGCAACAGTATCAAGTAAATAAAGATTGTCATAAACCATAAGCGAACCAGTTCCAACAATATTGGAATCAATAGATAAACTGAAACAACAGTTTTGAAATGAACAACAATAACCCAATTTGTCCAAACAAGAAACATAAATCAAATTTCGTCTAAATGACGGTCTAAATGACGTATCTATCAAATCCAAATAGTAACCAGTACTTAATAACAATCTGAAATGCCAAACCAGTATTTAATAACAATCTGAAATGCCCAATTGCTTCCACTTCTATCGATTTTTCATCTCCTACATAAATGCATCTTTCAACATCATTTGGTTTTCGGTAGCTCAAGCAACCCTGCATGGAAACACTTATATTAGTAGTAGCACTAGAGTCTAACCACCAAGTGTTTCTTGGCACTGAAGCCAAATTCACCTCAGAACAGACCAAAGCTAGAAATGTACCTTTCTTCGCACGTCAAGTGTGATATTTTGGACATTCCTTCTTCTGATGTCCTTCCTTATTGCAAAAGAAACAACCTCCACTTTCAGGATTTTGAGATTGAACTTTATTTTGTTTCTTTTGAGAATGACCCTTATTCTTAGCAGCCTCATTCTTTCTTTTAGTGCCCCTTTCTTTAGAGGTGTTTACCAAATGAACATTATCAGTCTTTCCATGTTTCAACCTTTCTTCCTCTTGCACACAATGTGAAATAAGCTCATTAAAAGTCCATTTCTCCTTTTGCATATTATAGCTGACCAGGAATTGACCAAACTGTGGAGGAAGAGAAATAAGAACTAAATGCAAGAGTAAATCATCCGACAACTCGAGCTTTAACAACTTCAGCTTTGAAGCAATGTTAGACATCTCAACGATGTACTCTCTTATATTTTCCTTGCCTCTGAACCTCATCGAAATCAGTTACTTTAAAAGAATACCAATTTCAGCTTTATCGCTTTTTGCAAAGCGTTTTTCTATTTCAGCAAGGAAACATGCAGCATCAGTGATCTCACTAGACACCGCACCTCTAAAAGCCTCAGGTATGTCGCACTTGATGATCATAAGACTCAAGATCCCACTTCTCATAGATCATCCTATTCTCGGAGGAACTAGCATTCGTAAGAGGAGCGAGTTTTTCCATTCTTAACGCAAGGTCTAAATCTATGCAGCCAAGAACAATGTGAATGTTCTCTTTCCAATCCTTAATGCTGTCACCCTTAAGGATTGGAACCAAATTGAGGTTAGCAGATAAAGTAGCAACAACTGAAAAATGAACAAATCGATTACATAAATAACCTGTTCATAAAAAAAAATAATACCAATAATGTCAATAAATTCAAATAATGGTAAATCTCATCTCAAGACACCTAATGCAACATTAATATCAAGTCTTTGGACAGTAATATTAACTGCTAGTGGTAATCTTGTTGTAATGATCAAACATTAACAATAATGCATGTCAAATAATAAATCTATCTTTGAATCGATTTATTATTCACATATAATTCCTTATAATTGTTACATGTTTACCATCACAAGTTTGTATGCAGTTCGACCAAGTATTAATTTTTCTTTAGGCCGATCAATACACGCATGAACTCACACACACACAACATCCAACATTCGTCACGAACTATCCACACAAAAGATGTCACTTTGGCAACATCATGTTTCAATAAGCTTATTAAAAATGATGGACAAATTTATAAAGTACCAATAATTTGAATTTAATTGAACCTTTAATTAAACTTTTTTTAAAAAAAATATAGAAAACTACATGTCGTTTACTTACTTCAACCTTCAGATGGGTTCGTTTCTGGCTGTCTTCAACCTCCAAACGGGTCAAACAACTCAGTTCGAACCAAAATCAGAACCCAACGGTTTCAAAGCCATTTTTTACACCAAAATGAAGCCTTCAAACCCCAAAGTTGTTAGAAATCTAATTTCTAGATGATTTCTAACCCTTATTTATACAAAAACTTATAAAATTTTAAAGGTAATTTAAATTACCCAAAACAGGGAACCCAAAAAATGATTCCAACGAATTTGATATACCAAATATATCAAAAAACCAACAAACTAAACAAGATATACAAGCCATCATTAATCACAAATTTATAACTTCATAATTGGTGAACAACAATGGCTAAGGGCCAAAAAAAAAAAAAATCTCAATAAAAAACTGAACGTGAATTAGCTCTGATATCAATTGTTAGAACTGAAAAAAAAATCACATTCAATTTCAAGAGAAATAAATCATAGATTAGCGGAACGTACCAGAGTCCATTAGATCGATTGCACAATGTATGATCTTTCAATATGCAAATTTTCTAGAGTTTCTGTAGTTTCTTGTTGATGGGGTGCAAGAAAAAAGATCCGTCTCTCTGCAAATCGGGGATACAAAAATTAGACCTCATCAAATTAGAATTTGCACTTATGGTATCCACACTATAATATCATGACAAATGTGCCCAAAGTCATAAACTTAATTCTAAATTAGACCACAATAATTTTGACTTATTAAATGATTACCCAACACATTTATTAATTACATTGTAGTCCCAAAATTAATCCAACAATATATATATATATATATATA